TGGAGATCACGTTACTCTACATATTATTGACATAGGAAATACCATTTCCCATTGAAACTTTCAGACAGAATCTGTAAGTGTCATTTTGCACAGGAGCTGCTCCAGCTAAATATTTAAAATAAGAGCACATTTATTCAAATGTTATCTATACAGGGCTTGACGAGAGGACGGTGGAGCCCGACGAGCAGCTTCCCGACCGGTCGGTGTAATTATACGGCCGGCCGGGAGCTTTACATTCAAGCGATCGGGCGTCTCTATAGACGCTCGATGGCTTGTATTAGCAGCTGTCACTGCCGTTCCCGTCCCGAGATCCGGTGCGGCCGGGACGGCTCTGTGACAGGAGATCAGTATACAAACTCCCTTTGATCTCCTCTCAGTCCCCAAATGCAGGAAGTGATGTATATTACATAACTTCCTGCATTCAGTGTCACTCTCCAGCTACAGAAGCTGATGAAGCAGAGCTCTGCTTCATCAGCTTCTCTGGGGGTCCCTAGGTAACATTAGGGGTCTTGGAAACCCCTGATGTCTCCATAAAGAGGACCTGTCATGTAAATTGGCTATCACATACAGGTGAAACTCGAATAATTAGAATATCGTGCAAAAAGAAGTTGCATTCGTGAAATAAATGAATTTTTGCACGATATTATAAGTAGCCATGTCCACTGCCAAAATACCTACAATGGCCACGTGAGCATCAGAACTGGACCACGGAGCAATGAAAGAAGGTGGCCTAATCTGATGAATCATGTTTACGTTTACACCATGTACGTGGGTGTGTGTGTTGCTTAACTGGGGAAGAGATGGCACCAGGATGCACTATGGGAAGAAGGCAGTAAAATGCTTTGGGCAATGATCTGCTGAGACAACTTACAGGACCTGCAACTGATTGGTTAGTGCCAGATACATGCATGCCTTCAGAGGTCTAGTGGAGTCCATGCCTCGACAGGCCAGGCCTGTTTTGGCAGCAAAAGGGGACCTACTCAATATTGGGCATGTGGTCATAATGTTATGGCTGATCGGTGTATGTTTTTCTGCTAAAATAACATTGGTTTTTCCTTTAACATGCTGTGCCTGCACCACCTCACTTTGGATCCGAGGAGTGAGGAACTGCCTGGGGTGGTGCTTTATTGTTTTATGGATGCTGTAGTGCTCCACTTGGAGTTTGCACTTAGGGAATCACATTGTTCCTGTACAGCCAACCACTCTGGTAATCATTCCGAGTATTGCATCACAAGGTGTTCAAATAAGACTCGAGGCTTGCACAATTTCCATTTATGAAGTATTTATTCTGAATATAAGAACATTTGTAAAATAAACGTATTATAAATTGCTCTGTATAAATAAATGAAGTTTACTTTTTTTACATTTTTGTATCAAATAAACATAAAATGACCATTTGCTAGAAGCGGGAGTGTTCAGGAAGGCATTGAGATAACAGAATGTATGTTGGTTCCAGTTTGCAGCATAGACAACACTATACAAAAATGTAAATGAGATGAAAGTCATTGCTTGAATCCATTCTGACACTGGCTGGCATGGAATTTGCTGGAAAAATATTAGGCTATTGAAGTGATGTCAAAAACACAACTACATGCAGTACCCCAAAATGAGTCAAGACACAGATATTGGTAAAAGGGAAGTGTTGGCAGAGGCAGCACTGGAAGCCCTTTATAGCTGTAATGTGTCATGTATTTCTGCTCAGCAGCAACCGTCAGTTGATTCCTTGTATTACCGTATATTGCATCAAGCTTCTGGCAATTTTCATGAACATATCTTCTGCTGGGTTTTATATCAAACGTAACATCATGAATAGAAAATCCGATTCCAAAATGTCTCCCTAACCTACAGAGTTCATAACCAATAACTGATCAGTCTCTGGACCGTGGACACTGCTGTGTTCTCTTTTTTTAGGCCATACACAGACTGTCATTTTAAGAAACATCTGTGATTATTTCCATGCTATCAGTGCACATAAAGGTATTGAAGGACCCTGTTGTAAATAATACATTCTAAACACATCCAAAGCTCAAATAGATGTACTTGGAAAGTGATTGAAAAATGCATTGTGGTAAAACACTTTGCATGCTTGAAGCCAAATGTTTAACTAAACCACTCAGGAGGAATAAAAGTGGCAGCTGCCCAAATTCCTCTATTAGTCAGAAAGGTAGTTGTGGGCGGTATAATGAGCAATCCTAAAATCCCTCAGCACTTAATCCAGCACAGGAAACCCAACGGCAAATGAATTGTTACATTTAGAGTAAGTGAAAAACACAGAAGCTGCCATTGCTTGCCTCCTGAAAATGCTGGTTCCCTGGATGTCGTGTTATTCTGCCTCTAATACTTTCTGAATCACTTACCTGCAGAATCTACAATCAGGAGGATGTCAGAACTGGCACCACAGCACTCTCTATGCCTCAATAATGGGATGAAACATAAAGAGAACTGTTCTAGGATGTAACACTAGATAGATCATTCAGCGGCCGGGCTGGTAATGCATGCTCAACCACTGTCCAATGTTTGTGGGCAGCTTTCTTTGGTTTCCTCTATATCATTGAATGGATTTCATGTGACTAAGGAGATCATAGCATGTGGGCATTGTGCCCATTTCTTGTTACTATACTGAAAAAGGAAACATGTAGACATGTTCAGAGCCGATACTAGAGAATAAAACAGACAAAACACAGCTATGTTTGCCTCATTGTTTGATTTTTCCAAGCCCGGTCTGTGATGTCAGTATGTGTTTTACAATCAAAATGATAAATATTTGACTCCAACTGCATTAGTCTGTCAAACTGTTGAATCCCTTTAATTGGAGAATGTCCAGAGGTCACCATGTGCCGACCACAATAACTGGAAAGCATCTGAATTGGTTGCTGACCTTGGGCTCACTTTTGTCAACTGCATACCTTACCAAACCATATTCTGTGACAAAGCAGTCAGTGTAGATTCTCTGTCGCTCTGTTGGCACAATGTCAGTGATATTAAACCTTAAAGAGCAACTCCAGGAAATTTAAAGATTAACCCTCACACTGGGGCTACCCCTGTACTGCAAGGATTAACTGTTCGTTTTGAGGTGGCCCCACTACAAGGGTTACATTTGACATTTTCTGGAGTTTTTCTTTAACAATGAACTTTTATTTTTTTTGCTCCCTAATGGTCTGTTTAACCCTTTCCATCTCACCAGATCAAGCCCTTTAAAAGTTCATATCAGAGGTGTTATATGTGCTTCCTGGTCATGTGATCACTCATTGGAAGCCCGCCCTCACCAGCTCCCCATTGTAAATGATGAGCAGATGCTGTGACAGAACCATCGCTGTGCTGGGGGTGCCGAATGAGCACGCTCCCGGCCCAAACAAGGGACACTGGCAGTACGCATATACAGTACATGGCAGCTGTGTGTTAAAGCCCACTGCCGAGCTGCCATATAGAGTATGGTCGGCATTAAGATGTTAATATACAGTTGGAAGCATTATTTATATCTGTCTGATAAGTGCAAAAAAAAATAAGTTACTTTTGTCAGAAGGTCAAATCTCTGGTGTCCTCTACCCACTTCTTGTGTTGTCTCTGGTGTCCTCTACCCACTTCTTGTGTTGTCTCTGGTGTCCTCTACCCACTTCTTGTGTTGTCTCTGGTGTCCTCTACCCAATTTATTTGATCTTGCCTTGACATACGCTTCAAGTACTGTCCCAGCAGACTTGCCTTAGTTTGGTCCATACCGCATTCTTCTAGTGTTCTCCATTTCCTCTCCTTTGTTATACTATTCATAATGTAAGGCTGATTTCAGAGTTAGCATCCTTTGGGCAGCACATGGTTTGTAGAGATGACTAGAACAAGCCCTTAGTAAAATGTTATCTACTAGAGCTAATTACTTAAAGTGCATTTTCAATTCACATAGGAAAGTGTTCCTCAATATGGGCTGGTTATTCTACAAGTACCAAACCCAAAGGGGAGAAGTATAGTAAATCTATGTACTTTTCAATACAGCTCTAAGGAAGCCATAAACCAATGGAACCTCTGCTAGCGCTGGGATAGCTGGGTGCCCCCAGTAACCGCTGGGATAGCTGGGTGCCCCCAGTAACCGCTGGGATAGCTGGGTGCCCCCAGTAACCGCTGGGATAGCTGGGTGCCCCCAGTAACCGCTGGGATAGCTGGGTGCCCCCAGTAACCGCTGGGATAGCTGGGTGCCCCCAGTAACCGCTGGGATAGCTGGGTGCCCCCCGTAAACTCTGCTAGCGCTGGGATAGCTGGGTGCACCTAGTAACCTCTGCTAGCGCTGGGATAGCTGGGTGCACCTAGTAACCTATGCTAGCGCTGGGATAGCTGGGTGCACCTAGTAACCTCTGCTAGCGCTGGGATAGCTCGGAGCACCTAGTAACTGCTACTAGTTCTCTATGTCAGAATCATACTGGACATTCTAAGTAATAAGTGCATGTGATTCAGACCACCATCATTTCCCCAAAACTGAATATGGTGAGAACCCCATTTGTAATGTTGACACTGTTTAGGAAGGTTGCATGACCGATGAAAATGTTTTTGGTAAAGCCGTCCCAACTATCCAACTACTGGATGGGAGTCCTAAGCAGAGTCTGCACACGTCCCATCTGCCAACCAGTGTCCTTGTTTTTTCCGTGTAAGCAATGACTGGCTGTACATCCTATGCTGACACAATACAATGCATGTGGTCACTTACACCTTGGCAACCCCAATATTGTGGGTATTTATATATGAAGCAACACATAAAAAAATAGGCTATGAATATTGATTAAAAGCCCCCGATATAAAATGAAAACCAAAGCACTTGTACTCACAGTGTACAAAGAAACACAGTTAGCCTCTGTATGTGTTATTGGAGAGTATTAAAGCTGCAGGGTGCCGTCATACCAAGCACCCGAGTTGAGGCGGTGTGATGTATTGGTTGAGGATAGCCGAGACATGGCTCTCCAGCTGGGGAATACATTTGTATTTTTTCTGCTGGTAGTCATTGTAGGACAGCACCTCACATGGTCCATGAAGTGGAAGAAAACAAAGGTGCATTGTAGAAGTCAGGTTTCTGAAGTCGTCCCCCCATTCCACACGCAGCGCACTATCTGCTTGTGCGGCTGCGACATTTTTGGCACACACCAGTGTACAAATAAAAAAAAACTGGTCAGGTATATCACTGGAGGTGAAGTGAATGTTTCTTCTTCTGCACAGTAGGCTTAAAAAGCTTCATATTTGAGTGTCAATGTTTGTTATTTCCAGTCACACCCAGGAGCAGACTGCCAGAGGAGTCATCAGTCTGTATTGCAGGCATAGCTATGGCACGTACATGACTCCAGGGTTGGCTTCACAGTGATGTCTCATTGGCATGAGGTCTGGAGTTCTCCTCTTCTAGTAATGCTATTCTCTGCTTCAGCATCCTCACTTGGGTCTCATGTCTCTCCACCATGGCCATCATCTGGGACTCCAGCTTCTTCAGCTTATTCTGATGCTTCTTCTTGGCCTTTTCATATGCTGCAACTAGGTTACTGTTCAGAGAGCAAAATCAATATTACAGGACTCTAGAAACTCAATGTATAATATGCCTGCCTTCCCAGATGACAAACAATGGCTTCATAGAATGCCTGGGACCCTAGCTCACATACAGTATGTGGCCCCCTTGGCAGTGCCACATTCTAATAGAGGGCTCCCTAATCCAATTCTCTCTCAATGCTTACTGTTGTATATGGCAACATTTTGCTACAATACAATGGAGGCTGATTTACTAAAGTCATAATGTTTACACAATACATAGGGGTCTATTTATAAACAATTCACAGGGCTGCGTGTTCTCACCTTACAAGTGCAGTGAATTGTTGAACATTTTCATGTCATATTGCATTATGGCCACAAGATGGAGCTAAAGGAGCTTCGGAAATACGTATTTGCTATGCTTCTTAGTGACATCTAGTGGCCATAATGTGGTATTACATTAAAAAAAATCAAAAACATGTTGCCTTCCAAAGAAACAAATACTAAAGTTCGTTTTGGCATATATCCATACAGAACAAATTTTAACAGATGTACGCCAGGTGAAAGGCCCTGCAGATAGGCCCCATAGTGTGGAGAGTGACTTCAACTACCCAATCATATGGACATATGTAAAGAAAACCCCAATACTCATTTCCTCTGCAGATGATTGCCTATTTGATGTAAATAGTCACATAATACGTGTGAACATTCTCCTTGTGGTGCACATTTACTTTTCCTTTAAAATGTATATAAAGAATATTCTACAAAGCAAGACATGTCAACTCCCTAATAGCCTCCACATGAAAATGATATATGATGGAGGGATTCAAGCTGTCCCCTAAAACTTTGCAGGATTGGGCTTCACTCTGTAAGGCCTTCCCAAATAAAACCCAGACCAGTGAGCCTTGATACTCCTGCTTTTAGGGATATGATTAACACAAGCACACATCCCTCTATGTGGCAGCATTTGCCACACAGCTAGTAATTGCCAATAATAACTGATCCTTATGAATCTTTGGAATGAATCAGCTCAATCATGGTTGCTGGGTTACTGAACTCCATTGCTGCTCTTTGCAATATCTAATGAAATAATATTCCTGCTAACACACAGTGGGGGTTCAGCTGACCTTATGAATGGTACTGGGATCAGTTACTTACCTGTTAGCTCTCTTTAGATCATTGACAAACTCTGCAGATTGCTGATGTCGGATCTCACTACTTTTAGTGAGTCTCTCTAAGGCGCTAACCAGCTCCTGTGCTCTGGACTTCAGCTTCTTTTCCCTGCAACACAAAAGGAAAGTTTTCCATCACACGGGCCTCGAAACGGGTCAACTACGTCAATGTAAAAATACACACCATAATATATCATTGTATCTACTACCATTGTTTTGTTTTTTAGTCTTGGATAGCATGCCGAGGGGTTAGAACCCCCCTCAGGTTTTCCTTGCTGTGATCTCGCTGGGGAGGTTTACACTCCTGTCTGTTCTGGTGACCACTGTATTCAGCCCTAAAAGTGAGGGAAATCCAACATTTTCACCCACCAGAATAGGAACAGAGTGAATATCTTTTTAATGGAGGATACCCTTTTACTTCCTGTAGTGTTTACAGGACAGAAAGTGAAATCTTCCCAATGGGACACAGATGGAAACAAAAAAACTGGCAAGGTGTTTAACCCTTCACTGTATTTAAAATAAACAGTTTTGGCTTTAGATTAAGGAAGGAAAAAGCATACAAATTGCAGTGGCAGTGCAATAAAAATATTGATAATGTTGTATACTTTGCTGAAGCCAACCAGCACTTCCTGCAGAGTTTATACAGAGTAGCTGGACAGGGAATGATGGGAGCTTCTTTGCCTACTTATGATTTTCTTCTCTCTAACAGTGTGATCTGTTTGTACAATATGCTGGGATGTTGGTTTGTGTAGTACAGCGCTCAGTAGCACTCATTTTAAAGAGTGAAAATGTTATATTACTATGTGGTCACCATTTCCTCAAAATCAAGAACTCTGCGATGATGCTGATTTCATAGAAGGGTTTGTATGAACCCCAACTATCAATGTGCAACTTTAGTCTCACCATTTGAGACATCAAAAGTAAGCTGTGTGCACCAATCCAGGGAACCTTCTTTTTTAATAAAGAGAGCTTGTCACTGAGCTAAGTGCTCCAACTGACAGTGTACAAAGAAAGCGGAAAAGAGCCTCTATATCATCTGACATAACACTAAACATTAACACAACTTCAAGACAAATAATTATTTTACAACAACAAAAAAAGAGGAACGATACACAGATTCTAAAACTCCGCACGTTATTTTCATCCAATACTGATATGTCTGTTTTTCTTATTGGCGCAGCAGTGCCAAAGTGTGCCGCCTTTGATGTTTCAGTAAACTGTACATGAACTAGGTTTTGTCATCCAGAGCTATTTAGTGCTAACCCTCAGTACATGCCTGACACCCAATACACAACAATGTTTACACACCATCCTCAATGCTCCAAGAATTGATCAAATCCATGGCATCATACAATCAACACAACTGTTGGGACAAATTGGTGCTGACAACATGCCAAATATACTGCATGTGAAATTAACATCTTTCTAGGAACAGGCTGATCCCATCAGGCATGTCTGCAGACCTTGTTTGTGCCCACTAGGTGTCACTGGTGATTATCTTTTGTGGCACATAAGGACTATCGCCTCATGTATAGCTTACTTCTATTATAAAAAAACAAACAAACAGTCTATGTAGCTATCTCTGGGGAGAAGTGTGTTGCATTCAGAAATAATTGTTGTATGTATGGTTATGAGAAGCTGCTGCACAGCCCACCTAGCAGATGTTTTGACTGCCTTGCATCCAGACATCTTCTTGTATTAATGAAGGGACTGATTACTGCACAAGCAGTAGGTGGGACGCTTCATCACATCTATACGCAGCACTGGCTGGTAAGGGGCTACAAATTGATATTTCAGTATTACAGGCAGCAGCTATGATCATATGTAAACCACCTAATGCAGAACGTGATGAGCGTACACATGTTTATATTCACAAATCAGAATGCCGGAAGGAAGACCATCTCCGCATATTCTATAGAAAGCATCATTGCAGAGGACATGCCACACATTGGAGTGATTTCAGAACTTTGTCAAAGGAAAGTCTATGGAGAGGAAGCAGATGAGAAAACACTAAAATGAGCCCTTTATTGGTGAGATCAACTGTTCACAAGGATCCGGGTCCGGGTCAGTGTTCTCTGTGGCGGAAGATGTCCCTAGTCAAATTATTGTATATTTCGCATATCACTAGTTCACAGTCTAGCTTGGTCAAATTATTGTATATTTCGCATATCACTAGCTATTATCACGAGTTCACAGTCTAGCTTCGTCTTTTTTTTCCCCAACGCCAACGTTCCTATGGATCTCACCCATGTACTGAAAATGGTTACCCAGCCCCATCATAACTTGCTCCCTCAAAGTCTGAGATGGCGTTCTATATTCCAGCAAACGGATGTCCCCACACAACCTTTTCTACCTTTGTAGGGAACCCTTTCTTCATAGCCAGATGGGAATCCCCTTGAAGTTTTTTTTATGATGTCTACAGGCAAAACCGCTGAACCGCTCTGGCCTAATATCTTTTCAGTCCCTGAAAAAGTTGTACACTATACCTCCTGTAGAAATGTTAAAATATAGTATGTGCAAATCAAACATTACATATACTCCTTAATTAAACAGACTTACACCACGAAAAGAATTACCCTGTTTGAGCATAGTTGTACCAATGACCCCCACACTCCTCCTGTTTCCCCTTCGGCACCTAAATGCACCACTACATGGGAACAAGACAGAGAATGCCATCTCTCAGGAGGAATGTTAGGCTATCTGGCTTAATACTGCAAAATGTTTGATCGATGTTTTAGCTGCGGAAACCAACTACAAATTTCCCATGTGTTGGTACCTTGTCCCTTCCTGGCTATTATGAGCTGTGTGACCTGTCCCAGTGTTTCAGGAGCTGCACTGCTGAGGGAACATCTAGTCACATTTGATGGGATTACCATAAAAACAAACATTTCTACTCCTGTACCTACCAATTCATCTACAGACAGATGTATCTGGAAATATTTTTACATTTTGGAGTTGTGAGGGGTGGAAACTTCTCTGACTTTTTATTGCACTCTGTTCAGGGGACCACTGTCAACAGTGAAGGAAGTGAGAAAATCCAAAATGTTGAGTCATCACCAAAACAAAAATAATGGTTAAGCTAGCAATGGTGACATTATCCTAAGAGGGCATTTCGCTCAGGTTTGGAGGGTTTTCTTCTCCTGTTGTGTTTACAGAACAGGAGGGGAAGGGAAACTGTAATTTCTCTCTAATGTAACAGATGTAAATCACCCCCCCCAAAAAAAAAACACCTGACAAGAGTCAGTTCTCAGCTTTTCACTGACGGTTTGACATTTTAGATTTTTACATCAATTGCAATCTCGGTGACAATGTTACCATCAAAAATTGAGGGTGGAACCACGATTTGGATGTAGATACTGGTTTATAACACAGACCCAAGCTAATATTATGGTGCCTGTAATGTTGACAGTTGTTTTAGGCATGTAAGGCCTCATAAGAGCAAGTTATGGACACCATGCTATCCAAGATCTAAAAGAAAGAGGTTGAACTGGAACATGTCGAAAAAATGTGTCACAGCATCAAGTCCTAAAAAGCTGATGTAAAAGTAGGACAAGGTAGGCGACAAAGCGATTGCCTGTGCTTGGGTAAAGACATTTTCATACGACAAGCCTGTTGTGTGCCACACTGCACAGTCACTGGAATGGAACATCAGGAAGCAAACATTGTAATTTAAAATTCATGGCAGAGACAGAGGAGATTTAAAATTACATTTTCTTGAGAAGGCAGAAATTGATATTTCATACTTCAACCATAACAGCCAGAAAGCCAGCTGTATCTTTTGTGAATGCCAGCACTGAGCAGGAATATCTGGGATATCATGAGAAAACGTGATATAGAAAATTAACTCTTTACAGAAAAAATGTGCCCAGCTCTGCTAACATCTAGAAATCAGCCTCTGTAGACAATTATTAAAGTGTTGGCTACTTTTAAAATACAATTGGATCAATGCACTAAGCTGGGTGAGTTCTTTTAAGTGGATTTTTTCATTTCAGGACAAATTCAGCATTCAATTCAGGTACATAAATATCACTTCGGTATGGAATGTGTTTCAATGTTTTTATTGTTAAGTAAAAAAAAAGGCAAATTAAGTTTCTGTGCACATCACTACATGTTGTCCAAGTGTGATTTTTCTATTGCAACACACAGAAACATCTTATTCCCAGTGCTAGTGTGATCCCAGTACCCTTTAATCCGTGACAACCTCTCCACACATCCAGCGGCAGCTCCTCAAAGGTTAGGAAATCCCTCAATACATGTAGAAACAAAAGAAAGAGCGCCCCTCTCATATGTAGAACATTTATTATAATAAAAAGTAACACATACAAATATACTCACAAGAGCAGTATTGAATGCACATGGGTTAAAATTGGCCTGCGAGAGTGTCATAGCTTGCCAAGTGAGCGAGTTGATACTGCCGTGTCAACATGGTCGTGTATTCTGATTGGCTCACTTTCAAGTCTAATCCTGATCGCTCTCTGGGCATCCTATGGCTCTGATGAAGGGAGCGTGCCCCGAAAACGCGTCAGCCTAGTACACCGTGGCCGATGTCGACATAGATGTGACCGGAGGCTGTGTTTGAATCAATTGCCAATCTGGGATATCTGTATTTTGTCTTCTTAAACGATAGGTCTAGTATCATACTGAGAAAGGAGGTTAGGGACCTAAAAAGTGCATGTTGTTCAAGAGACAAATCAGCTTTCAGCTAGCCATTAACAAACTGTATAGCTGCAAACCTAACTATTTAAAAAAAATCGGCCCCAAAATGTGTCATTATATGTACTGATGGCACCATAAAAACGGAAATATAGGTGTGTGATTTGTTAAGACACACATTGACCTCGAATTGGAGCCTCTGTAAATCTTTCCGACACCAATTCAATCAAGCACGTCAGTCTAATAACCAAACCCAGCAGCCATACACTGGACGATAGGGAGAGTACTTACAGCATGTAAAAGTCACAAAGTTATGTCCTAGTTGTGTACTGTAGACATCTCTGACTTGCTATGTTTCAACTAAGCAGACATAACCGGGCAGATGATGCGATTTCACTGGAGACACTGTGGACTATCTGACCTCAAATACTAAAGACACAGAAGAGGAATTGTGATGATAGGGTCTCTCCTGTGATAGGCAATTAATCATCTGTCTACAACAGAAAAATCACCTCTCCGTTTTCCCTTATAGACAAGAAGGCAAGGAAAGGAGGCAGCTGTATCCAAACTGCAGTACATCCTGCGCTGTGATTCACAGCAACATCCACATATAATGAGTAAGTGCATTTCCAATCAAACTGCCCTTATCCCGTCAGCTCACTCTCAACCTGCATATACCTGTGCTGTAGCTTTCTATTGGGTAAAAAAGGACCATCTCCTCTCCCAAATGACTCCTGCCTCAGGAGGTAGCTAAATAGAACCCTATGGAAAGCTACTTCACAAGCATGGCCAGCGCACTGAACATCTGCCATCAGGATGTAAAACACTGGAAGCCGCAGTTTCTTGGCAAGTGTGCATATGGGGGAGGGTTGCGGGTTGTTTAGATCAGGGTGAAGGAGGCAAAAAGGAGAAGTTCACCTATTTAAAAATTGCACTTATCCTTTAACAAATCCTAAAAAACTATATGCAAGCAGTTCTTAGCAGAGCTCTTTGTTTTTAGAATGAAATCCGATACGGAGGCTGCCACTGCTGAATTCCTTCTGTGATCTCATACACCTGCAGTGAAAGAACAGCCATGGGTGCAGAGGACGAATATTTGTTGTTTGGTCAACATATCAACAATTGTGCAGTTATAATATGACAGAAGTCATAATCAGTGTCTCAGACCAGAACAGAAAATGTGAAATGCCCTTCCCAAACAAGATCAACCAAAGCAGATGTCATTTTCTTATACCCGCTAAAATTAGGGCCCGTGTCAATACGATTTTGTTCACTTCAAGCGAGTTTTGTATTCCCATACAAGTTTATGCAAAACCTGGATGAAGCAGGTGAAATGCAGGTCAGAAGGGGGTCAGGTGCAGGTCATATGTACCAATGTATTCTGAATGACCTCTGAACCATTTCAAATCAATGTGAAATTGAAGTAATTGACATAAAGCCAAAGCCCGTTAACGCGGCCCCTTACAGTTGGAATCGGTTTGTTGTTACAATTTCTTTGCTTCTGCAGTCTGTGCACTCACCTTTTCAGTGCACTGGTGAGTTCTGATGTAAGTTCACTATCATTGTACGGTCTCAGCTCAGATAAGGATAATGCAGAACCATCTATGGATTCCTATGTGACAAAAGAAATACGTAACAACATCATTCATGGTATCGTGTATTGCACGCATAATTAGCACAACAGACAGCTAGCGGCAGCAAGGCATTTTATTCTTCTATTAAATAAATGGCTTTCAAGTACAGATACAGACATTTCAAATAGAAAATAAATAGATCACTGTAAAACTGTGAAGGGAGTATGACAAGACAGAGGATGATAGAAGTTTATAACATACTCTTAGGGAAGCTAAAAGGATGATGTATGCCATTCAAAACTACTGGTGGCTCAGAGTACAACTAAACAAAGAACAGAAAATAAAATACTAGTCCCTGAGAACCATGTATAATGTATTGGAGACAACTCACAGTGGTAGAGTCCTTCAACACACCAAAACATGCAGCACTTGACTAATCAGGAGCATAGGCGTGCAACATATGCGAGCCATAAAGAACCAACTGAAGGTAAAATACAGTTACAGTTACTAGATTAACACAAATATATATTTTTCAGCATAACAAACATAAACGAGCAGAACATGTCTTTTGTGTTAACCAAGCATCCAATTATCCAAAACCAACTGATGTTTGGGAAGGCAAATTACTGTTCAAAGCTGTGACACAGGCAAAACTACAGAAGGTAGGAGGGGAATCTACTAGGTTAGTTTTCCAACTCCCAGCACCCCAAACAATACCTCACAAAGCCCACTCACAGCCAATACAAACAAACCCCTCAATACTGCAAACCTAGCAAAAGCCTTTTCAAAGAATATCCCATTCTATGGTACTTACATGATTCGAAGCTCCCATTTAAAGATTTAAACATGCCCCCTCATTCATTTACAGGAAGCCTTCCCGGGTGGTTCCATGCACTAAACAGACCTAATAAAGATCTAAAGCTGTATGATAAGCACTACACCTGTGATCTCACCTTTCCCATCTTGTCTTTGCTGCTGGCTGAGCTCAGTGACCGCATCCTCTGCTCTTTCTGCTCTTCCACTTCAGACTTGAGGTGCTCAATGTGAACCAGGTAGGCCTGTTCCTGGGCATCCCGCGTGCTCAGCTTAAGTTCTAGAGCCTTTTTCTCCTTCTCTAGCAGGTATAGCTGTGCCTTGAGCTCAGCCATTTCCTCCTGTCATCAAAAGACAATCACAAGGTCAGCTGCAAGGTCAAAGCAATAAGCGAGATTCTCATTTCATTTATACCGAGAAGGTAGCACATTTTTCACACCAATTTCTTGTATGGGGACACTGAGCGCATTTCTTTATTGCCACTATGGGAAAACTAACCAAACCTCTGCAGTTATCTGTTAACATTCATTTTAGTGCACAATTTGTGCTAAAACAAACCACAGCACTTGGAGAATTTCCACTATTCAGCTGAAAACTAGCTATAGACCAGCAGATGTCTTCCTGAGAATAGAGACAAGAAGGTAAATGCCCATTCAGTGTGGAATATGTACAACCTGTTGGAATAGCTCATTATTAATCCTTGGTGCATCCCTAAATAGACTTATCCTCATCAGAGAGTTGTATAGTGGTGGGACTGAGCAGTTTATGGCCACAAATTGGCACCACGTTATCTCTGGTGAATTGCTTAATATTTTCCTGTTGAATATAAAAAAAGAATACCCTAACCAATTCATAGTAGGAACTGTCTGATGCTAAAGCTTAGATTTAGCGCCCATGCCTGGATACACCAGTGGAGATCTTATGTCTTATGTAAATACAGAACTTTGTGAAAGTCACTATTTAGACTGGCCTAGGCACACCGTCCCTCATATGTAACAGAACTGTGGCCTGGCGAAAACTAATTCCGGAACCAAGCTCTGGAGAGAGCGAGAGGCAGAAAGAGAGGTAGGAAGATAGAGTCTGTCTATGGGGGTGAGTATATGTTGGACAGGCGTTAGCCTGAGGAATCCCCTTCACAAGACATTATTGGCTAAAGCTGCTTTACCTTCTTGTGGACCAAAACCGCTAGAATATGGGAGAATGTGAGCTTGAGGGACTGGTGTCTTTTTAGCATTGTTAACTATGCATTTTATTCCTATCTTTCAGTGCAGCACAATATACAACATAATACATAATTCACTAAGAATGTATGCAAGACTAAAATCCCCAGAGAGGAATGCTATGATGAAGGCACAATCTCTTAAAAGCTACCCTCTGTTAATGAAAGTGTGCTTTCCTTCACTCCTCTCTCCTCCTTGTGCTTGGTAAGCATGCCTCTCTCTCCACAGAAGAGCTCTCATTTGTCAGCGTTCCAAATGCTTTTACTATAAAACATTTTTTTTGTTCCAACAGTGAATTCCTGCAGCACGTGTCCCCAGAGAGTGGGGAGATCACAGCCTTTACCTTAGCCATTGTCATGGTTCTTTTGTAGGATCAGTACATCAGTGACATATCATACCCTATCTGCATGAGGCAGCAAGTTGGGTTATGTGGCAGAGCAATTAAAAGACAAGAGGATTATTCACAATTATTAAAGTAACTCTAGGTGTTCCCATTGTTACTGGACAGTCTTGAATTGCTGGGCCCAAAACAGATGCAGTAACGGTCAACTATGGTCACGTTTGGCAGGTCTGGGAATAACAAACAAACCTGTCGTCATCTTTCTGCATACCAATAAATGTATACGTGTCTGAAAGACTGTATGCATTGCCCGTAGAAACCAGGTAGACTCCATTTTCTAATCAGCCCTGGAAAATGACATGTGGGATCAGACTGCCTGCAATGAGATTCTTTTTAGACACTTTTCAGCATCTCTGACTAATATTCTGACAGCAATATCCCTAGCATGGACAAGGGGAGCACTATTGTCGCTGGACCAGCCAGCTGTGCTCTGCCTGACCTGGAATGAAGTAGAAGAATTGTCTGAGTGGTTTTTGTCGTGTTTCTATATGCTGAATGAAATGCCATCCTCCCAAGACGAAACATGGACATTTATGAAATGCTATTGAATACACATCACTTACAAGATGTGCCTAAAATGAAAGATCTATTAGAGGAGGAAGGCTCTCTAAAACAAATGAGATAAACAGCTGCGCTTAGGAAATATCAAGCTGCTGTCAATTTTCATCTCATGTGAAGGGACAGGAAGGGTAGATGCTCTGAGCATTGTGGAACAATATTAAGAGATCTGTGCCTCATCTGCGGCCAAGACTAACTTTCCTGACGTCTCACATGTCTCATTAACCTGTATCTGAATATCATATCAAATATTCTGTCTGTTGATTTACAAACAGAAGACGTCCATTTTCTTGCCTCAAAGTATAAATGGATAAAAGACATCAGTTAGCTAAATGCATACATTCTAGATTTTAGAGATCTAAGTATACTGACGTATGATAAACAGGTATATTTCTATGGTAAAGGTGACAATGGATGTAACTGAAAACACAACAAAACGTTATCACATCTAATCATCTCAATTCAGGGTGTGTAAACCCTAACCATGAACTATTTTCTCCTTTTTAATCTGTTAAATATACCATTAAAAGTATTTGTTATATCTATTTGCTAAGTGTAAAAGAAACAACCACAAAACCTATGGATCCTGTCAGAAATCCAGTGTTGTGCTGTGCATCCTGCAATGTAATCTCAAGCACCTTTATTAGCCCTGTTCAGTTCACTTCTATGAAACATAGAACCACTCCCCCTATGTTTTAGAGAGGATTAGATTATCAGTTAAATTCTATTCTAACAATATATTATTTAAATTGTTCAGAGATCCAGTTCCATGCCATCGTGGGGTATAGGTGGCCCTTGTTAAGAACTCTGCTCCAACTAGAGATGAATAAAAGATCAAATGCACCATTTGCCATTTTGATTGTTGGTGTATTAAACATGGAACAACTGGCCATGGGGTGCAATAGCATCTGTCTGTGTACGGTGGCCTTCAGAGTGTGCTAGTCCTCGAATATTGCATTGGGGGTTATGTTATGTAGTCAGCTTAGATGTAAATTGCTTTTATTGGAGGTCTTCTAAAAATATGCACCACAACTTTCTGGCAAGTTTCACAAATTATAAAGGGAATGCATCTAATAATTTAGTTTCCTTCTAAGGAGGATGATGGGTCCCTAGATGGGGGTAATTACCAGCAGGGACTGAGTCAGACGTGTATCCCAAGCACACAAGTCACGTCATATATAAAACCGATTTGCAGTATTTCTCAGTGATTTTGCATGTTCCTGTCTGTTTTAAATGTTTAGATACAGTTCTTGTGTTTGCAAAAACGTTTTTTTTTTTTGCTTTAAATAAGCCATACATCTTAAAATAAACCTCACATGACAGAAATATAGCGGACGATGTTCATAACTGGATGTTATTCTAAACCACTGTCTTCGATAACTTTTGAGTCACTAGCTAAAATAAAATAACTTGCAGATCAGGAAAGTAAGAGAAAAGCCAGAAAACGATATCTGTATCCTTGTTCCAGGTCAGTGGTTCCAAGTAGTGAAGCCTGAAGATTAGCAGGACAGTCAGGCAACCAGCTTTTTCAGTAGAGGCCAGCAAAGACGGTCTGTTTCTCACATGGCATTATTTCTTTAAACCCGTTAGGGCTTGTTCACACCATATCCGGATCATGTTCAGACCAGAACAGTTTGTTCCCAGACCAAAAAAGCATCCCAATGTATCGCTACGGTATTTCTTGGCTCTGTTCACACCAGTGCAGTCCGTTTTGGAACAGACGAAAACAATACTGCTCGTCTAATTTCCTCTGGTCTGGAATGCACTGGAACACATGGAAACTCATGCAAACACACTGGAACGCACCCGAAAGCCCATTTTATGCTATAAAAAAAAAAGGAAAAGCGGCAAAATGCAATGCTCTGCGTTCCAGATCTGGTCTGGAAAATGGTGGGAACCTGGCTTTCAGAAGGGTAATGCTAATCTTTGACCAATAGAGTGGAAATGTCTAGATATCAGCTCATGGTTTCATCTGTAAACACTGCTGCTGAAATTTCTTCTCCTGTGTCTGCATTGATAACTTGCAGGTATAACTTCTGAAGACAAAGTGTGTTCTTCATATCAAAACCATAGGCGACAGTTCCCTTGCTCCCCATTGCCCCATACAGTCTTCATTCTTAACATGGGGTCCTAATTGAAGCTTTTGCAGAGATAGTGGTTCTATGGAAACCTCTCTCTCTCTTGGTCAGTTACATCTCCATTAACTAGATCTAGTTTCTTCCACAGTACATGTTGACATTTTATATGCTGTAACATATAATTATTATTACAGACAGCACATAAACAACTAGTGTCTCAAGTGTGGAACCACAGAAAAGGGCTCAGATATCCAATGGCAGCCTGCAATATAATTCTACAGGCGTATGCCAGAGCCACAAGCCTTTCTGAGCCCAGCTGCTTCCCTACTTCTACAACATACTGCCAGAAACACAGGAGACCAAGGAAAACTCAGAAACCTAACTGGCTGAGTCTGTTGTCCAGAATGCAGGGGATTTATAAATGTTCACACTAAACGTTGGTCACACAATGCTCTGGGGTTCATCCGCATATGGCTAAAAGTGGAAGGATGGAAAATTCACTTTTTATACATTTCTGTGAAATATTTAATATAGTGTCATCATTTTAAACTCTGTTCATGGACACCTTTATAAAGGGTTTGTATCTAAAAATGGTCATACACAGAGGTTATCTGATTCAGGAACAAAGGATGAAACTTGAACATTTCCCTTTCGCCCAGTGTGCACATCCACTAATCTACTGACTGCTTCTAATTGCCTTTTGAAGTAGAACCCCACACAAGTTGGTACCTGCAGCATTTGAAGTGGTAAGTGTAATCTGTACATTACACTGAACTCCGTTGTGGAATCACTGCAGAGATATCCTGACTCTATGGTTGGCATTGTTTCAATTGAAATTGGTCGCTCCATATAGTTCTATGGAGACAATCATTTCCATTCAAACAACGGTCAGGACCAGAATCTTTTGGGCAGCAGGTAAACCACAGAAGATTTCTGTTCAGAATTATCAGTGTAGAATAACTTGCAGATTGTACTCAACCCCCTTCCCCCAACTCCAGCCAAATGATGAAGGAAACTACTTTATGAGGTTCTACTTTAACCCATATGAAGCCATAATGGAGAGCTTCTTGATAGCATTGTTGACA